CCTGCACCACTCGTTTCCAGCCAAGTTTTGTTAAACTCCAGGAAAATACATCTGTGCTTACCTACAAGCTCCTCTTCTCAGTGCAGGGGCAGCTTTGGCCATTACAAGGGTGTGCTGCATGCCGGCAGACTGCTAAAGCTCAGCTCACCACTAACAGCCACAGTGCAAAGCATTACCCAGAACCCAGCTACTCCTCTCCTGTAGCATCACACAGGGCACAGGCTGGAAGGCCTGGATTACACTGTACAGGGTCTGCAGCTGCACTCAGGGGGAGCTTTCTAAGAGGGTCAATCCCACCTCCTAGCAGGACCCCCAAAAGCCACCTGGGCAACTGCTTTCTCTGCTGACCCAGATCAACTGATTTCAAAGGCAGCTCATCATAACTAGTCAGACACCAATTTCTCACAGTACACGCCTCCAGCAGGATCATCCTCTACCCAAGATGACTCAGCAGAAGGCAGGTTACACACAGTGGGCTCCCCTTGAGGAGCCTTCTGCCAAGCCAGGGCCAGCAGTCAAGCAAGCCCCGAGGCAGCAGCTCAGCAGAGATGCTTCAATCAACACAAACAAAATTAGGGCACAGTTTAGTTACCAAAATTGAGTTCATAATGCTGCAACTTTAAGACAACTTCAAGAGTGGAAATGCCAGCTGGGAGCCAGACATCTCACCTACTTGGGGGAGGAATCTGGGCTCTGCAGGAAGCCACAGGAGGCTTTCAAGATCATTCTCTAGGCCCTGTCAGTGCCAGCACAGGGCAGGTTGGTGTGCCAGACTTCATCCAAGACTTGGCTTAAAGTCTCATACTTCCATTCCCAACCCCTTGGGACTGTCCCCTCAAAGTCACTTCAGTGACAGAACACTGCAGCACCACAGGCACAACCCAAACCCAAGCCTTGACCAGAAAAGCCTGAAAGCTCTCCAAGGACAGTGATGAGCAGATGACAGCTCTGCACTACCAAACTCCAACGCTGATCCTGCCTGGCAACGCACAGGAGATTCATAGTCCCTTCTTAAGTACTTATGACTTGCTGCAGCTTGAGCCTGGAAAGCTGGGCCTCACGTTGAAGCTGTAGGGTTTTTGCACACAGACCAGTAACCCCAGTGCTGTCCCCCGGCTGTAAGGCCACCAGGGAGGTACACAGGACATGTCCTGACATGTGATGTTTCAGCTCCTGTGATGTAGTGGCAAGTGCTCCATTCCCCTTTGGGAGGCTGCCTCAGCAGGGCACAGGGCTGCTCTCTTACCTCAGGGGCTGCGCTCATGACCTGCCCCTCTCAAGCACACAGCCCCATCTGGGAGGTGGGACTTAGAGGCTTTGTCCTTTCCACCTCCAAGAGCACAGTAGGTCTGCCTGACCACAGGTCACGGTTCAGGGCAGCCACTTAAGCCACAGGCAGCAGACTTGCTGCCTGCAGCAGCTTGTGGTTTCAGCCCCAGAGGGGAGTGCTGTCCAAGAGTCACGCTCATCATCCCCAGCACCTCTGACACTGGCAAAGTTGATGCCCTGAGCTGAGGGGGACAGGCCATCACCCAGCAGAGCCACTCAGGACACCTGAGGAAGCCTCTCCACTTGTGCTACCAGCTGCCTTGAAAGCCCAGAGCAACAGCAGCCTGAAGGGGATCCAAACAGGACAGTAAGGACAGGACACTGCCCACGAGTGCTGGTTCAACTGAGCTGCCTGTGACCATGCCCTGTTCCTCTTGCCAAACAGCTTGCACCTCTCCAGAGGAAGGGCCAGCAGCCAGTGGCTTTATGTTTGCCCTGACAGGCAGCAGAAGCCAGGGCAAGACCCACAGCCATCTCTGCTCTGGGGATGAAAGAGCAGCTAAAGCAGCATCTAACAACCATTAACAGCACTGACAAGGGCAGGAAACACTTCAGCAACACCCAAAAGCCTCACGCTGCCCTGGAATGATCTAAGACCTTCCAGTTTCCAGGTATATCTGCTCTACCAGCCCTCACTGAGGCCTGTCTTACCTCCTCATGACCAGGAGGTGAGAAGCATTGCCTGGGAAGAGGCTGGCTGGACATCTGCTCCCGGAGCAGGCAGAGGCCAGAGCCTGGCACTCTGGGTGGTCTTCCCCATTGAGGGACCGAGTGAAAGGCACCACTGCAGCCTCCTCCGAGTACGCCACGGGCGACTACCAATCCTGGTGGGATCATCGCTTACCGATGGGGTACTTGTGCTTGTCCGTGTCGATGCCAGCGTAGACCACCCCTCCAAACAGGTCGTACATGACAGCTGCCAGGGCCTCCGCGTTCAGCATCCCATGCAGAGCCCCCACGAACACAGTCTTGCTGGGATCAAGCCGCTGCGAGGGACTGCGCACGAAGTTGCTGTCTGCCAGTACCCATGGGATCACCTGCACCTGAAACCACACACAAGCAGGCCAGGTTGGCCAAGGGCCCACAAAGCCACACACCGTGCTGCTCCACAGTGCCCTCAGCTGACAGCAGAAGCCGTCCCAGACCCTAGACTTCACCTCCAATGTGCAAGAGTCACTTTGTTGTCACTGCTCAGGGTCTGCATCCAGGGCACTACAGCTCTGGAGCTCCAGCCTTGTTCCAGACACCTCCAGAGAGTCCACAAGGCCCGTTCAAGGGAACAAAAACCTGCTACACCACTCTCCTTCCAGCCAAACGTAAATCCAAAACACTGGTCCCTTGGGGCTGGCAGCCAGGCAACAATCCATGCACGAGTGGATTTTAGCCTACTGCCTGCACCTATGTTTACAGTCAGACACCTCCTCCCTGCACAGGAGCCTGTTGTTGGAGGAGATCAATGAAACAACCCACCCACTGCCAACTTCAACAGGAACTTCCATCTGCTAGACAGCTGATATAGGGCTCTGAAGAGGAGAAACTTCTGCCAGAGCTAAATCACCAAGCATGAAAGTGCTGCCAATAGCCAGACACCGGGAGAGCTGTCTAGAGTGCAATTAGTTTGTGCCTGTCTAGGTAAGAGCTGAATCTGAATTCTTTAACTCCAAACTCGTGCAGGTGTACCTGATCTACAGCTAAGGGCCCCCTTCAGAAGGCCAACCTGAGCCTCTGGCAGCCTCAGCAGCTCCACCTCCAGAGCACAGGTCAGCCCACCAGGGCTGCACTGGGGAGCAGCTGCAGTCATAGCTATGGATCCAAAATATCTGCCTGCAGTGAGCATGAAAGCCATTTGTTCTGCAAGCAGACGAGGTCTAATAAAGCACCAGAGGGATCAGAGTCTGTCTCTGCAAGCAAAGGTGTGCTGAAAACCAGCATGAAGCAGTGAAACCCCTGTCCCCACGCTCCCTTCCAGCTAACTGAAGCTGCTTGCCTTCATGAGGCCAGAGTCTGCCACAGACCCAGGAGCTCCAGGTCATGATTTCTGACACAAGCTGTTGTGAAGGACACAAACACCGATTTGACACTTCCCTCCGTGCCTGCATCCAGCCCTACTGCAGGAACACAGCAATTAAAGATGGCCAAGAGCCAGTTTGACTCCTGCTGCTGTTTTAGCCCTGCTCTCCTAGAGAGAGGATGCAACCCCTTGTCTCTGAGGGTCTCATCAGCATCCCCCACTGTCATCTGTGGGGCTACTCCCATGGGTCTGCTCACCTCTTTGCAGCGCATCCTGCGGCTGGACATCTTGAAGTAGTACTCGCTGAGCCCATCAGGGCTCAACAGGTCCTGGGAGCATGCCTGGAGCAGAGCACGCACAGATTTCTCAGATTCAAACACCAGGTAGACATATCCTTTGGAGGTAAAGGGAAAGAAGCAGTTAGAATGGTAGCAGAGAAGAAACAGATCATCCCAGTTTGCAGTCACCCTCAAAATCACTTGGCTACCACTCAGCATATCTGTACTACAACTCCCCTGCTGTCCCCAACCCCTCCTAGGGGAGGGTAGCAATTTGCAGCACCTGCCCCAGCAGACTCCACACACAAGATCCACCTGGGATGCAGAGAGCCCAGCCAAGCCGGGAAAGAGCCCACACTCGGCAGGGCACAAGAGGGCAGGTTGCTCAGGCCCAGTGCCATGTGGGCCATGCCCCCCCCGCCCCCAAAGCCACATCTAGACATGACAAGTGGGCACCACCAACCTGACCACAGTGTGGCCTGCAGGAAAACAGACTCTGCTTCACATTTAGGATGTCTTGGCCCAGAAGTTCAGGGCTTGAAAAAAATCACTTCCATCAGCACCAGCGCTCTGTACCTCACATTGCTCTGGTGACTGAACAAGGCCATCAGGCACCCCTGAGCCTACGAACTAGCCACCCCCTACCCCACAACTCATTACTGCTTACACAACACACCAGCCCGGCTGCTTCAGACAGGATTCTGCCCCTGGCCCTGTTCAGCTCCCCAGTCCCCACAGCCTGCCAGCTTGCTGCGGACGCACACTTGGACTCACGGCACACACGCTTCAGGTGCCTGTGCTGGCAGTGGGGACTAGTGGCTACCGCCCAGAGCAAGACAGCCCCACAGGGGGCTCCAGAAGCACCAGAGAGGTCTTCCCCCCAACCCCATGCTTTTGCCCAGCTCTGCTAGGGACGGGTGGGGATGCCAGGTTTGAGGTGACAGTGCTCTGCAACCCTGGTGCTGACCCAAGTGAGAGCGGGACATTTACCCTAGGGTGCTCTGTACCATCCAGTCACCAGCATGCAGCCGTACCATCCCAGCATCCGTGCTGTAACATAGCATGGGAAAAAAATAACCCTACCGTGTCGCTATTACCTTTAGGCATATTACCTTTGGGAGGGCAGCGTGGGTGTTTGCCATCCTTACCAGGCCACTCCACACTCAGTGAGCCAAACACACGGAAGGTGTTGATCAGTCCAGCTACAGACAGAAGGAGAAAAGTCAGCATCCCCAAAAAGCTCCATCCTTCACCCTCCTGATGTCAAAACTCGAAGGCCTCAGTGCGAAGCCAGGGGCTGCTCACCTTCTGTAATGTCCCACGGGACTCCTCCCAGGAACACTTTGCAGGAGTAGACAGGGTTCTTGTAGTTTCGGGGAGGCAGCTGCCCACTCCAGGTGCAGGTTGCTTCATTCACAGCTTGGACAAGCACAAGCAACCCTCAGTATAGGATCATTTACTTCCCACTCTCCCATAGGTCTCCAAGTAAATCCCCATATTCCACAACTACAGGTTCATTTTTTGCAGCAATGGGCAGCTGCCCAGACAGCCTGCCTGTTTTTCTGTCAGCAGCAGACCCAGAGTCAGGCTTGTGCATGGAAAAAGGTCTAATCTGCTGCAAACTCACATCCAGCAATGGTATCTGCAGAGGTCACCTATGTGCTCTCCCAGGAGTACAGGGCCATCACCATGCATTGAAGCCTGCTGAGACCCACCATTCAACTTACCTGCTGCTTGCCTATGAAGCCTGGCTTCTCTTTCGATACTGAAGGGGTCTTCTGGAGAGTCCAGGAGATCCCAGGAAGGCCACGCAGATGCTCCAGGCCACCTTTTTGATGCACTGGCTGGGGAGGAAGACGCTGCAGCCAGGGCAGCTTGATCTTGATCCAGCCGGGACCCCACTCCCATCTTTAGGGGATCTCTTGACACCCCACTGAGGGGCAAGAAGGGCAGAGGAGGGGAGATGCGGAGGCTTGACTGCAAGAGAAAGTCCACATTAAAACCCAGCTTCTGAGTAAGAGCACATAATATAACAACACTGGAGGCCATGTAACACGCTGGGGCCCTGCCCTCACCCACAGCAGAAGGGGCTCTCTGATCTCTTGAGACCCTCTGAGGTCTGGCAGAGGCAGGAAAGCAGCCACCTCAACTGTCCCAGCAGCCTGATGGGACCACAGTTTCCCTGGGAAAGGCCTGCCCCTGCAGCCATTTCCCACTGAACCCATGCCAAATTATCAATATCAAGGATTGTCAAGCAGGAGGCACCTTGCAGACCACAAAGCCAACAGCTACCCCGCTGCTTGCGCAGCCTCAAGGACAGCTGCCACCCCCAGGAAGCACCAACCACCCCTGGAGGAGTCTCATGTTTTGCTTTGGGCCCTGTCTGCAGCAGGCAGGGCTGGCTGGCAGCACCCACGAGCTCTGCAGGCAGCCAGCTGGCTCTCACCCTCCCCAGACCAGCTCCCAGGCCTGCCTGACCAGGGCGTGGGCTCAGCTGGCTGCAGACCCAACCACTCACAGGTTTAATGTGCCTCTCCCAGGGTGGAAGGAGCAAAAGCACAGATTAATAGAACAGCAGGGATGAGACACACTGTGCAGCTCTAGAGTGCCAGCCGCTCTGCGGATCTAGACATGCGCTGCTGTGGCACAGCCGCCCACGCTGAGGCCGTGCTGGGGAAGACCTGACCTTCACGAACAAGGCCAGCACAAAGCCCTGCCGCCCCCCCACCGCCTGCCATCAGAGCCTGGGGTGCTGCAGCTGCTTACAGCACCCCTACTCAAGGTCCTGATTCTCCAGCATGGATCATAAGAGAATCAACTCCACATCAAGCCAACTGTGTCCTTCATGCCCACCCTAACATGGGGGTCAAGGCCACATCTGCAGCACGGTAGAGCCAGGAGCAGCTCAGCCCTGGATTTAGCCTCAGGTCCTGAGGACGAGCCATGCAGCAGCACCCCCAGAGCTGGCTGGAGCCAGGCTGTCCTGCTGGCACCCAGAGCTGCTGCTCACGCTGCAACACAGACCCAGCAGCACAGACTGGGTCAGCAAGACAGACACTCGCCTCACTTGCTGACTTCCAAATTTAGCTATGCTTAAGGGAACAGGAGCAGGCTAGACCCAGTTTGCTCTAGAAGAAACAGCCCTGAGATGGAGAAGTGCAGTCAGCAAATGGGAAGGGCAATGAAAGGCAGGGACAGGAGCTCCTGAGAAGCCCAGGCTGGAGCCTGGAGGCAGTTGTGCTGCTCAGTCACCTCCCTGCTGGGATCAGGGCACAGACACCCTCCTGCCATGCACCAACTCAAGCACTCAGATCCCCCGGGAGCTACTTTAACCCATTAGGACTGGAAGCACAAAGCCAAAAGGCCAAAACTTTATTTAGAAGAAAAAAAAAATTAAGAATACTGCCAGTTTGTGCTGAAGGGGGACTGCATGAGCAGCCCTTCTTCCAAACCCTGGGCTGCAGGAGAACCTCACTGTGTCAGCATGACAGCTCCCTCCAGCACTCCCTTCCTAAGCAGGCAGGGCTGCTGCTTGCAGCCCCCCTCCCAGCTCTCCTGTGCTCCCCAGAAACACAGAAGGACACCAGGAACCACAGAGTGGGTCTAAGACCCAAACTTACGATCAAGTCTGAGAGGTGGTCAGAGCCAGAGCTGAACCCACTGGTGTCTGAGTCCGAGGGGCTGCTGGAGCGGGAGTCCAGGAGGGAGCGGGAGTCCAGGCGGGAGTTTCTCAGCGTCGGTGCAGAAAACTTTTCTGACAGATCCGAACCAATTGGGTCTAGAGGCAGAAAACCCAGCGAGGGCTTCCCCAGGACGTTCCCGATAGGGTTACTCAGCATGCTGAGAACTGCAACAGAGAAAGAGCCTGTCAGTGCTGCAGGATGACACACCTCCTTCCCTCTTGGCTCTGTGGCAGAGGCCCAGGAGGCTGCTGGTCTCCTGTCAGCCCACAAACAGCTTGTCTGGGAGGTGGCACATCTGAGAGGTACCAACCCTCCACACAGCTCTGGAAAGGCTGCAAGCTCACTGCCATCAGCTGCAGCATAGTGCTGCACAGCGGGAGCCAGTGGCAGCAGCCTGGTGTGGCCAAACACGAGGGTGGGTTACTCTCCCAAGGCTGAGATCAGCCAGGAGACCCCACTTCATCTGGGAGCAGAATCAGAGACCCCACATCCTAGTTACGGACCTTGTACAGGTGTTCCAGACAGGCCCCCTGCCCAGTCTGTGCCATGACGCTGGCATTTCCCGCTGCTTGTGCTGGAGAATGCTGGGACACAGGGGGTCAGCTACTCATGCAGTTTTAGCAACGGGGGGGCACAGATGCGGCCCACAGCCAGTCTTTGCTGCACACACTGATGGCCAGGCTGAGAGGAGTGAGGCCTGGCCCGTCAGCAGGCTCAGAGGTGGGACGCCACACACGTCAGCCCCAGCTGGAGCTGGCTACGGGCAGCCAGCAATGTGCCAGTCCGGCCTGCCGACAAAGGAGACGCTTCACAGTCAGCGGCGAGCGCCATCCCCGGTACGCATTCACAACAAGCCTGTCTGGTCAGGCCTTCGCCCAAGAGCCGACAGACGAGTGTGTGCCAGACTGCTTCCCTCACACAGCAGCAGCTTTTCCTCCCACTGAGGGGAAACAAGGCAAGCAAGTTCCTCCCTACAAACAGAGCTGACCCCCCGGAGCAGAGCACCGGGCCACTGAGGGGTCATGAAAGTCTCATCCTGCTCTGTGGGTCAGCAGTGTGGGGGCCAGCTGCCACCCAGGAGAGGGAAGGCAGGGCAGGCTAGGCCACACGGGATCCCACAGGGGCACAACACCAGCCAGCTCTATTCAAAAGGAGCAAGTCTCAGCAAGCTGAATGTGTCCCCAAACCAAATGAAAAAGAGCAAAGCATTCAGAAATGATTTTAATTATTCAGAGGCTGCAAAACAAGGCAGCTTGCCCTGAAGCTTTCAGTTTTCAGCAAAGCAAGTTTGGGATCCACTTGATATCCTCCAGCCCCACCTGACTGCAACCAGCTAGGACAACAAGGTTTTTAACCCAGATTTTCAGTAGCTCTTGTGCAGAAGAGGATTAATAATCTAAAACACTGCCCAAACCAGGCAAGTAAAAATGCCATCATGCTTGAGTGCGCTACAGTCAGACACCAGTACCGACTTGGTGCCAGCACCAGAGAAAGCTGCTGAGCATGCCTGAAGCAAGATGCTGGGATACACCTGTCCCAAGCCATGTTATCCAGTGGCCTACCTGCCAGGGAGCTGGCATCTCTGGCCTCATACTACAGGGAGAAGCCTCATAACACCAACAGAAACCCCAGGCAGGTACAGGTGGGTCCTTTACTTGAAGCATTTACCTCAACCTGAGGCAGAACCAGTCTACACGAGCCCTCAGTGAGAGTCACAGCATCTTGCCACATTTGCAGAGCCTTATGTCTGCAAGTTTGCCCAACCGAGGCACAGACCCATTTTGGCTACAGCGCAGGACTACAAACTCCCCCTCTGACCGCACTTGGAAAAGAACTTCCCGCCCTTTGAATATCTGCGTGGCTCTCCCTGACAGCAGCACCTGTGCTCACACCCAACCCCACAGCCACAGAAAAGCCTCACCGGCCCAGCAGTACTTACCCTGGGCAGAGCTCAAGCAGCAGCAGCCCCGCTAGCAGCAGCGGGTAGCCGAGGGAAGGCTGCTGCAGACAGCTCAAGCCGGGGAGGAGACTGTTCCCTCCTAGTCACAGCACAGAGCAGGGCAGAGCATCTCCCAGCCCAGGCAAGCCGCACTATGCTGGTTTGCCGACTTCTCCGAAGCCACGTGATGTGTTTAAAAATACAGCCAGTGTATTGTTCAAGGGAGACAGCTGAATTTGTTAAACAGGCTCAAAAATCTGATTAGTCACTAAACAGTACAAGAGTCAGAGCAAAGCAGCTGATCCCATGGCCCAAGCCTTGCTGCCGACAAACACTCCAGTGCTGACGCCCTCCTCAGCCATCGAGCATGGTGGGTTTGTAACACCAGGCTGCGAGCAGCCCTCTGCTGACCCTGTGTGCGCAGCACTCGGAGACCCGAAGCAGCAAAAGCCACGCAGATCACTACCCGGCAACGCTGTGCTGCACCCCTCTCCTGGTTATCGGACACGCAGGACCAGAACTCCATCTGGCATGGATCAGCAAGGGTTCAGGCTTATCAGGAGCTCCCAAAGGCATTACAGGGTCCAACTGCTCTGTCCCATTTATTTCACTCCTCTCTGCAACCACTCTGGCTTGCTACAGCCAGTGCTTACACATTTGCTCCCAGCATTGCTTAGCTCTCACTGCAGCTAGAAAACCAGTAAGGCCAGTACGAGTGCATTCAAGTAGCAGCATTACTCGCCTTTAAAGGGATCTGCTGTCTGGGCCATCCAAGTTTCAGCACCTACCACCAAGCAAAATCCTGCTGGCTCCAACTGACCCACTCCCAACCTTATGTCCTGGAAGTGCTGACATCCTGCTGTTAATGCAGACGGAGTTCATCCACTCCAGAAGCTTTGACAGGTCCGCACAGGCAGCGCTTGGTTACACGGTCTGCAGGCTACACCGAGCTTGTGGGAGACACCACATCCCCCCAGTGCATCTGAGAGCTTCACTTGGTACCTATGGCCATGCACAGGGACATCAGGAGGAAAAGCTGTGAGCCATGCTCAGCATTTCTTCCTTTACACTTAAGGATCAGGTTGTGTCCCCTGAAGCCAGCCTTTGCAGGTAGCCTAGGAAACATCAGCGTAAGAGACCAGATTTTATTTCTCATCCCTGCAATCCTGCTCCAACTCCCTGCTCAAGTCCACTGAACCCTCTCCTGGGGACAGGGCACAAGAGCTTGACAAAGGTTGCCCACCTAAACAAAGCCCTCAAGTCATTGGGGCCACTCCATGAAACCACAGTTCTTCCAGGGAAGTTGGCCTTGTCTCCCCTCCAAGCAGACAGCTTGCAGAAGAGAAAAAAAACATTTCCAATGCACATGCAAGATGCATCAGCAGTTTCTGTTGTCAAGAGCATCCCTGAAGGTCCCAAAGTGAAACAGCAAACATCAGGTAACTACTCAAACTAAGAAAAAAAACTAAGTGCAAACAACTAAGTATTTTTCACATCTCCAGGGGCAATTTTAACAGAAGGGTCAACGCTATTCCCATTCATCTGCTCATACACAGCGGCCCTGCTGTCCAGAGCGCAGCAGTTTGCAAAGAGCTTCTGGAACTTTTCATGCCTCCGCTCGGAGCTGCAAGAGAGGCACATGCCAACGCTCCTTTGCAGGGGACAGCAAAAAAGGTAGCTTTTAATAGAAACTCGGCTCTGACTTTTGACTCACTGCTGCAGCTTTAATGACTGGATTCAGAGCCAGCGTGCTCCATCTTTGAGCATGTCAGCCAAACACTGACAGATTTAAGAGCTATGTGGAGCAGTCTCGATACCAATATGGCACTCTTCCAGTTCACGGGCACTCAGGTCACTAGAGAAGGAGCATTTTACAAACCACTCCTCCTTGGTTGAGTGTTCCCCAGTAAACACTATCAGGACAATGCTGTTGCAATATGTCCTCTTAATTTCTGCATCATCCTGGGGCCCCTGAAGATATGGAAGGGAGCATCTGCAAGCACCTTGGACCCATCACACTCAAGCCAGACACTTTGCAGCAGAAGTACACAGCTACACTGAGCCCACGGTGGCTGTTTCATAGGGTGGCTAATTTCAAGTCTTCAGGCCAATTCTGCCCTGGAGACCCCAACTTATATTTTAAACCCAGTTACCAGCCACCGAGCTACTACATTCAATATGAACTTACCCGCTCTCAAGCAGATCATGCCATCAGCACAAGATGCAATTCACAGCACATCCCAACAGCAAGATGTCCAGTGCTCAACCCAACCAGCCTCAGAGCAGCTTTTATTCTTCCATGTGCTGTTTAGACTTGCAAGTTAAGGTTTTCAGCACCTGTCCAGCACCATGAAGCACACAGCTTTCTTCCCCATGTACTATAATTTACAGCCATTTAGGAATTAGATCTCCCTGTAGCTTTGACCAAGCCCATTTTACAAGAGACAGATGTAAAGATGAGGCCTACGGAGCTGGGCTTACCAATGCTGGCAGCTCAGGGAAGGGCTCTGGGTAAACTACTTTACTGCTACGATGACAAATCTTTAACACCTTGAACAAGACCTTAAGATAATAACGATGCTACACAGAGTATCCACTGAATTTATTCCTGACAGCTAGAGTTGACAAAGAGCTCTGCCACCATTAAGCTGCCTCTGAACAAGTACTTTGGCTTTAGTCTGGGTCTGCAGGAGACCACCCAGCAGAACAAGCCAACAGCACATTAGCAGAGCAGTGCTTATACTCTGAACTTGACTAAAACTGATGCAACAAGGAGTAATCTGGAAACTGAGTCTTGCCCAGAGCAAAAAGCCTCTCACCTTACAGCTGTGCAGGTCCTTCTGCTCAAGATCTTTCCCCACACTGTAAGAACAGAGGAAGCTTCCCCATAGAGGAAAACAGCATTTGCCATACGGCAACACACATCACAGCCTCTTTGCAAGCCCAAAGGCACACGTAATTGTGCGTGCACCCAAGAAACTCCTGTCGAGCAGAACAGCATGCCAGGCCCCAGATTCTTACGTTACCAGCAATGGCTGGCACCTGCATCCTTAATGAGCAGAGCAGTTCGACACCACATTTGGCAGTGACACCAAGCACTAGATGAGCACATGCACACAGTTCTTTAAGTCATGCTCTGAAGATGTGTTCCAGCCTCTAAAAGCTCACTGGAGGGCTGGAAAAACAGCTGGCTGTTTAGATAGGACCAGGACTTGTCTGAACAGG